CGCGTTCTTGTCCGCGTCGGATGCGGGTTTGATAATTGCGCGACAATTATGCCTGCTGTCGTCAGAGTTGTGGTTGCGCCCAGTCCTTCCCACGTAACTGATTCTCTTGCTCAGGAAATTTCTCAGTACACCGTACGGGAACGCCAAATCGTTGCGCGTCTTGAGGACTGACTTCTCAGTACACCATATGGGAACGCCAAATCGTTGCGCTTGTTGATGGACTGTGGGACTGGACCGATGGGCACATCTTTGTTTTGCAAAGCCCTTATTTCGTTTACAAACCGTCTTTTTAGACATGCGATTTTTAAACAAACCGCTGTTTCGGTTTGTAAACCTGTCTTTTCGTGGGTCCGGATGTTTTATTGCCGTCTAAGTAGTACTTTGCCAAATATGCAGGCTGAGGCCACAGTTTGCATGTTTTATTTTTAAATCAATCACAGACTGCCACAGCTGATGTCCAGTACATTCATGTGGCCAGCACGTCTTCGGAATGGCTTTCATCGTTTCCTTCTCGTGTGGTTTTCGTGATTGGTCATCTCTGCGCAAAGATCCGGCTCCTAAAATCTCAACCAGCGGATGCAGAAAAGCGTAATCGACTTCTTCAACACGAACTACCTAAATCCATTCAATCCAGCATCTCTTCTGTGGTACTGTTCACGCTGCCTCATCATAAATGATCCAGTTACCTACTTGCAGCGTTTTCGTCTGTTTGACGGCTATTTTTATCTAGATTACAGCCATAGCTGTCTTTTTGTGCACAAGGTGATCATTGTGACGGCAATGGGATGTCGGCTGTAAGAAGTTCATTGGAAATGATCATCTTGCTCACTGCCGTATTAGAAAAAGTCGTAGTGTCAAGTTTGACGAGGAGATGATGCCGGATGGTGATGGCAGTTGTGGCGATTCCGGGCCGTAACTGCATCATGAAAATACGCAAATACGCCATAAAAACTAAGGACAGTTTGAACCGCAGGTAAGCTTTCTTGTATCATGCATCGTATCTCATTCTTCAAGCGCTCTTGTAGCGATAAAGTTTAAATCACAGCAAAGCTATGAACGAGCATACGTAGGTGGCCATGATCAGTTGTCACGAACTGCATCGCGTTCACTCGAGGGGTCAGTCCTTCAGCTTCGCAACTGAGTGCAAAACGGATCACGAAAGGCTCGAAGACTGAAGTTCAATTGAAAGACACATCGACTTTCCGTCTATGTACCCGGACCTACGCACCCCCTGCAGACTTACAAAACCAATTATTGATTGTTCCGATAGCCTTGCTTGCTGTTAATGTTCGCTTATCCAGGACGGCTAGTTCTTGTGAGATATCGAAAGCAGAGGCGGGTAAACCGAGCAGTTCAGCATTCGACCAACCGCCTAACCAATGTCAGACGGAGGTAAGGAGAAAAAAGAGGGGGACAATTTTTGCAGAAGGCGAACCGGAACTCACTTGAGGTTGGCTGACTTGGTTACGGGGTTAAAGCACTCGTCACGTGAGAGAATTCGCTGACAAAAGTACTGGCGCTTGGGGTCCAAGATGCTCGCCAGTTGATGGGCATAAGCGCGGTTTCCAAAGGTGCAGATGTGCAGCTGGAAGCGCCGAGATATGCGTTCAAGGAACTTGTTCAAATGGGGCCGGAACCGGGTGTGATAAATGAGCGGGCATCCGGGCAGACGAAATCGATGAACGTTCTGAGGGAAAAAGAAGACAGAGAAAATCGTAAAGCTTAATTAAATATGCGTATTTTTAAACCAAATACTCCAAAGGAGCCTCTTTAAGACAGGGGTTCAAAGACATTACTAACCGTACTTGAGAAGATGGGCGTGCACATTCGGGCACAGGTGTGAGAGGAAAGAGCGGGTGTGGTAGATGCAGTGTAAGTCTACGATTATTTGAAATTAGTTCACGCTCAAGTCACCGTCCCCTGCATCACCCTGTTTGGAGCATACGATGGACATCGTCGGAATCTAGAAGAAGACGACTCGATCGCTGGGACAGTACTTTTAATCGCCTGACGTTTCAATATCCCTCGCGGATTTATCATCAGAGACATTAGCAGAAAACAATAGCAGAAACGGAATCGACGATAGAACTGTCAATTAAAGCTACTTACCTTTGCTATCAGACTGTCTGAGGACGAAAAATAACCAAGGGTGGATGCGTGAGGAAATAAGCGGAGATAAAAAAAATTGTTAACGATAAAGTCCTTTGGGAAAGAAAAAAGTTTTTTGTGTGAATTTTCGAGTCTGGTTCCCCAGACAGACAAATAAGTTCCGCTTTTTAATCTCCTAAGAAATTAATTTGTGTTCGCTGTATATATCAGTATATTTGAGGTTGATATACCGGTATAGCAACCAGAAAGCAGATATAGAAAGCTGGGGGACACACTGATGAGCCGGACCTCTCGCAGCTGTGTCAAGCAGCGGCAGAATACCGG